CCTCCTCCTCCCCCCTCTTCCTCTTCCCGCCATTGCGGGGAGCCACCGCAACAGCCCCGGCCAACTTCCCCACCGCCTTCTCCACCTTCGCGACCGCAGTCGCCACGAAGCTCACCTCCTTCCCCACCTTGTCGGTGGTTTTATCCACCGTCCCCAGCAAGGAGACGGCGCGGGCCTGCCCCGCGAGGAGCTTCCCCGTATCCTCCTTCAACCCCTCCACCGCGGCGGTGAGGTCCTACCTAGGAGTCAGACCCAGAACAAGAACAACAGAAAGGGGAAAACTTACCTTGATGGCAGCGAGGGTGGCCAGCCCCTGAATGTACTGCGCCCCCTCAAAGGGGGAGCGCAGGGCCGGCATGGCGGCGCTGGAGAGGTCGGCCACGCGCGCGACCTCCTTGTAGGTCTTGAGGGTGGTGGCCGGGACGGGAGGGGTGGCCGCTTCGGCGGCGACGATGGCGGCATATTCCTCCTCGAGGAACCAGAGAATCTATCCCCCAGAAAGTCAGCACAGGAAACCAACCACCAGACCGAACAGCACCCGAGAACTCACCGGCACACATGGTGCCTTCTGCTTCACGCAGTAGGCGCACTTGGAGCTTTTCTCGCTCCAAACGCACTCGTGCTCCATGGGAGCATCGTCGGGTGTCCCAATACGGCGCACGCATCTCATACAGAGGACGCGGTACGCAGCCGGGAGGGCCCCGGGGGGCAGCAGGACGGGCATCTTCGCGAAAAGGTTTCCTACAAAACCGTCAGCCCCAAGCCCAGAAGTTATCACCTACGCGTCGGCGCGCAATCATCACCTACTCGGTCGTCTGGTTTGTTTTGTTTCCTATGAAACAATCAGATTAGTATACAGTATACGAACAAGAGGGGCTACTTACTGGATTCGGGAGGTGGGTTCGTAGGCGGTGTTGTTGTAAAAAGAAGCCTTCGAATCCTGGGTGGAATCGGTTGCTCCATAACAACCGCTTAGAACAATGAATTTCTGAGGAGTAGTAGCGCGCGCACAGTAACTAAGAAACTCGCGACGCGCAACACCACAACTGGATACTATACGGTGCCAACTCGGACCTCAACAACCCGCTTTTATTAGGAACAAAGCACGCTCCGCGATCCATCCCACGGACGCATTCAGCACCACGATCTTCGAACAAAGACTACCTAGACCATACCGACACTCGGCTACCATTCGGTCGGCACACGGAGCCACGCGCTTTGAGGACAAAGCACTCTCTCAAGGGGGGGGGTAATGTAAGGATGCCTCCTTACACGGGGTACCCTCGGACCCGTAAGACAACGCGGAATAGGCGACATAGTAGTATAGCAGCATAGATGTTCTAGGGTCGGGGTCGATTCGGGCGGCAGACGGGAGTGGATCTACCGGTACGCTAAGGCCTAGCCGAGTCGGACCCCATTTAGGTACATAAGGGGTAGGAAGCTATAAGCTCCCCTTTCATCTTTTTTGTATCCTTCGTAGTAGACCTATAGGATTGCACCGACTCATATCCGACTCGCACTCCCATATGCCACTTCTCGTGATACGGTGCCCTGCGTCCTTACAATGTACGGGTATTATGTCCTATTTTCTCACATCAGCCACAGCGCTTCTGTCGGCCCTTAGAGCCCACCTGCCGACTATTCTCACTTGTCACTTCCATACGGACTTAAGCATCAACCTTAGCACTCTGAAGGATATCCTCTCCGTCTTATACAGAGAGACTCCCCCTTGCATTATATGCGTCTTACGCTTCTTTTCCAGCCTCTTTTTCTGTTCATTTGCTACTTGTAGAGCCTTAACTTTTGCCTTTAGTAGAACAGCAGAATGCATCATAATTGAGGTAGGAGAGCTATTCTAATGTCGTACGATGCGGTTCTTAATATGCTCTGTTTGAAAATCAAGCTCTCTTATAGTTTGAGGAGTCTTTGAAGTCTAATTGTTGCTCTTAACTATAGGAGGAGTTAGAGTTCTTAAGTGTAGATTTAAGTAGGAGAGGACATTCTGTGGATCGTACAGAACTAGTCCTATAGCTCGGAATCTGCTCTTAATGTTCTGCTCTGTAAATGTAGCTTTGAATGCTTCTTTGAATGTAGAGAGAAACTTAATGTAACGCTGACTTCTAAACGAATAGAAGACATAGAGGTGTCTTGCGTAAAGGTTTAACTTAATGGAGGAGGTAGGTGATTAGACACAAAGGCTTTTAAGTAACATGTTACAGTATTATAAAGAATACTATATTGAGTTGAACACCAAGCTCCTATCTAAGGAAATACTATCTACTTATATAGTGGCGTCATACCAAAGGGATATCAAGGATAACATAGATAGCAAATATCCATGATATCCTTTGTTATCCATTACATGTAGATATTAGGGATAACATGGATAACAAATATCCATGATATCTAATGTACTAGGTAATTGCTGTCTGCGCCTTTTATAGGCGCACACAGCAATTGTTTTAAAGCAATTAATCTTGTAGTTATTAAGATACTAAGATTTAGGTCTAAAGTGGGGGCCAAAACTTAGTATCTTAATAACTATACTACTAGTTACTTTAAAACTTAGAAAAGATGCTTTAAATGCCTATAAAAGGCTAAATATACATTTTTATAATTTACTAATAAACAGTTGTTGAGATATTTAGTTACAAAATTCATAATTTTGGGTGTAAAATCGAGTAGGCGACTCGCTTGTGAAATACGTTAGTCATGATTATTATGATTATTTGTGTAAACCCTAGGGTAGTTTCAAGAGTTTATTTGATAAGAGAATTATAATTACTTTATAACGTGGTTTACCACCAAACGGAACATCCCACCAAATGAAACACTTTCCGATAGCATCGCAACCTCAAACCCAATTACTCCACCCTAACACATTAAAATTAACTACACTCAATTGAATTCTCTTCTCCTAATATCTCTTCAACCTCTTGACAGGTTCGTACATTATGCCCAGTCTTGCCGCACCTCCCACAGCGCCGCGAAGTCGATGGACCAGCCTCTACAGCACCCTCCTCATTTGACCTTTTCTGTCGTTTCAACCCTTTATCCTCTTTTTCAGCGATCAGTTTTTGAGCATCTTCTATAGTAAGTGACCCTCCATCTTGGACACGTGTACGCTTGGCTTTCCGACGCTTTGAAAGTGCTGTGTTGGCCTTTCGAAGGGTACGGACCTCCTCTTGTATAAGGGTCATTTGGTGCGCAATGCGGTCTGTACCCTTCACCAGCTGCTTTACAGCTGAAAAAATCATTGTTGGGGAGCTTCCTTGATGAATTCCAATTCTATTCTGTACAAACTTAGACTGCAAAATTGCATCAGCTGGGGTTTGTGGCGTTTGAGGGACCCAAGGGTCAGCCTCTAGTAGGGGGGATCCAGTTGGTGTTGGCGTCCGTAACTTGATATCAAGCTTTGAGAGAACTGCTTCTGGGTTGTACGGGACTAGGCCAGTACCTCGAAAGCCAGCTAGGATATTTTCAGTTGTCATTGTATGGTCGTGGGCAGCCTTGAATGCAATAAAGAACTCAATCTTAGTGATATGGGTAATAGAGGCCTTAATGAAGACCTCAAGTTCTCGACCATACATTCGCTTTAGTACACTAAAACACCCAACATCAAGAGGCTGGGTAAGATGTGAGGAGTGCGCAGGGAGACAGAGCATAATAATGTTGTTCTCCTTGCAGTACATATCAAACTGGGCAGATAGGTGGCTCTCATGGCCATCTAGGACAATCATCCGCCAGACCCCTTGTGTTCGTACACGTGTATGCTGATTAAAGTGTTTTATCCAGTCTAGACCTGTATCATTGTCGGTCCAGCCATTTGGTGAGGTCTTGATGGCCCAAGTAGGTGGAAGGCCGCACTCTGTGTACCAAGGCGCAAGGTGATGCTTGCCTTGTACAATCAAGTATGCAGGCACTACAAAGCCGTCTGCACTCACACATTCAATCGCTGTTGCCCATTCCCGATTACCAGACTGAAGCTGCTTTGCTCGGCCTTTTCGATCTGAGCTCGTAACAACCATATTCCCACAGATAACACCCATCATAAAGCCCGTCTCATCAAAGTTGTAGAAGTCAGCATCCTGGATGCTGTACTTCGCCTGCATGTTCTTTACCAGCTCAAACCACTTTCTTATACAATCAGGATCTTCGCAGAGGGCTCGCTGGAGGTCGTACGCACGAGAGAGACGCGTCTTAAGCTTTGGTTCATTGTGTACAAAGCGGTAGGGCCAGTTTTTTCCAACTGGGGGTTCGCGACGCGTCGCACGGAGGAGATTCGCTATATCTCGTACATCCTCAATTCGAGGTGGAAATCCTCGCGAATCTAGGTCAAGTACGTATCGTATGAGCTCCTCTTCCTCAATTGGGGTCAATGGACGTTGTTTGTCGCGTCTACCAGCTCGTGGTTGGCTTCCGTGTATGCGACGGGTAAGTGTTACATGTGGGACCTCATATAGCTGCGCAGCACGTCGGATGGACAGTTTGTGGGGTGATTTGGTAGCTTGAATGGCTAGTAAAACTCGGCCTTCATTAGCTTTCTGAGGCATCTTTTTGTTGTGGTGTGGTGGAGTAATTGGGTTTGAGGTTGCGATGCTATCGGAAAGTGTTTCATTTGGTGGGATGTTCCGTTTGGTGGTAAACCACGTTACTCTTTATTATCCTCTACAATTGTTCGTCCCTAATTTGAGAATGATAAAACAGTTAATTACAGTTAATTTTATTTAAAAGGAACATTCCACAACATATATTCACCAGAACACATCGAACATCTCAAAGCACATCCAACACAACTCCCATTCACAAACCCCAACCAAAGACTATTCTTTCCATTCCCCTATAATACAAACAATCCCCTCCTCCCTCCATAATCATCCGTTGTCTGTGCTGCCTCCTCCATATGCATCGCCCCTATTGTTACAAAAATACAGTAGTATACCCCCCATCCCCCTTCCTCCCCAAAAGCCACCCACCAACTCAATGCCCAACCCCAAACGCCGCGCTATAAAAACATCCCCCCCAGCATCCCCAGTTCACAAAGGAAACCCTCGGATTGAATGAAGGCTTCCGAACCCTCATTCCTAGACCCCCTCACTGCTGCTCATGAATAAAAGTGCAATTAACCCCCTTCGCACACTTCCCCTCCTGCCAGAACCGACACGGTTTCGTCCCCCGCTTATAATCCGGATCCAACCTATTCTTGTTGAATTTTCCTCCCCCGCCTCTATCCCCACCACCAGCATCCCACGGTTTCTTCCCCCCCTCCGCGCCATCCTGTCCATAACCCCCCGACCCCCAAGTCTGCGCACCGGACTGCTGCTGCTGTTGCTGTTGGGAGGAGGAGGTGCTCCAGGTAGAAGGTGGGGTGGGAGCAGCTTGTTGCAAACTAGCAGCGTATGCAAGCCACGCAGGCTGTTCTTGATACTGCGTCTGAGCCGGATAATTGGCGGTGGTGGTTTGGGGTTGGCTGGGCCACTGCATCTGCTGCTGCTGCTGCTGGGGTTTCTGGGGGTACCCCATTCCCGCGAGGAGATTCTGGAGGCCAGATGGATCATACTCCCCTCCCTCTGCCTGCGCGGCCGGCTGTTGATACGCCGGCTGCTGTTGACCCTGCCCCTGCGTCTGGGCCCCCATGATCTTCTGCAACTGCCCCATCAAATCCTCCTGCCCAACTACTGGCTTAATTCTCGCCTGTGCCTCCGCGATATGACGATCCTGGAAAGCCTTATCCCTCGCCGCATTGGCAATCTGTTCTTTGAGAAGCGTCTCGTAATATACCTTCTTCGAGGCGGGGGCCATCCAGTCCGGTGCTTCGACAGCGGGAAAGGGTAGACCGATTTTGGATGCGAAGATGGCGGAGAGGTTTGTCCATTCTGCTGGGTCCATGCCAGGTGGTGTTGGGTAAGCGGTGGTGGGTTGTGCGGGCTTAGGGGTGGGTGGGAAGAGCGTCGAGATCGGTGTAGTACCAGCTTGTAACTCCGCGAGTGTCGTGATAATTTCCTCCAGCGATTTCTGAGGCATCTCCTTCTTCGGGAAACGAGGACTATTCGCGATGGCGTTGAGCATAGCCGGGACAGATAGTTTAGCCGTTGTTGGCAGACCCAGGATCTCAGCAGCGCGTTTATGCTGCATTTCTCTGTGTATACCGAGGCGTTCCTCCTCTTCATTCCGGAAGAGACGCGCCATCGCTGCGTCAGCGCCGTAGAGTTCGATGTCGAGGAGTCGACGTTTGACTTTCGGGAAGTTCGTAGGCTGACGAAGTTGTACGACCTCCGTTCCTGGGGTGGTAGGTTCAAAGGGCGGTTCCTTGGGTGAGTGCGGGATATCCTTAACACCCGTGTAAACAACCATTAACTCTGTGTCCTCACGCTTAGACTGGATTCTTTGTTGCGGCGTCTCAAACTCCACAGGTCCGCCCCTCGACGTGAAAGCCTTCCCATAATACCCCTCCTGCAAGGCTGAGAAATCGACCTCACTCAACACAGGCCAAGGCTTACTATTCACCTCAGCCTCACTCTCCTCATCCTCCACATCCACCACGCCCTGGAAGCGCTGTTTATGCATCATCCCCTCCGAGCGATCATCATGTGCATCCCTCAGCATTTCACCCTGGCGCCCCTCATTCTCCGCTCGCTCGTGCGTGAAGATCCGGACTTCGGTGAGGCTATCGCCCCCTTTGAAGTGAACCCTGAGATGACGTCTAGATTCCTTGCGCTCCCTTCTCGCTTTCTGCTCGGGTGTTTCGTCGGGGCGCTTGGGGGCCTCGGGGGCTTTGGGGGGGGCTTTGGGCTTGGAGATGTCGGCGAGGAGCATGGAGAGAGTGGATGGTCCGGTGGAGGGAGCGGGCTTTTTTGCCACGGGCTTGGCTGCTGGGATATTTGTCGTGGCTGGCGCGGCTTTGGGTCCTTGCTTCCCGAGCTTGGCGAAGAAACCAGTTGTCTTTATGGGGACCTTGTTGCCGGATGGTTTAGCAGGGAAGCACTTGGCGCCTTCGGCTGCAATCTTTTTGTTTGGTGAATTACTGGTGCTATCATCAGGCTCATGAGGTCTCTTCAGGCTCGATGCCGGCTGTATTCCCGCCTTGACATCTGTAGGAGCTGTAGGTTTATACTCCCCTCTCGCAATAGCCTCCTTCATTTCGCCTCTCTTGGCAGAATCTTCAGCAGCAGCCATTATAGCTCTATCATGAGATTCGACCGTGCTCTTCATGATTATTTCCACAAAGCGCCTGATATCCTCTTGCCTCCGCTTTCCTTCAAGATCGACATTCTTGCTTTCTAGTCTACTCTTGTTGAACTTCTTGACAATGCCATCGAATTTAGATCTGGTCAAGACGGCCTCGCTGGTTTTGGTGAAGGCGGACATGAGATGGAAGACTGCAAGAGCGAGGTCGCCGAGGTAGTCATCTGCTTTGATACAGTTTCTGAGGATATTCGTCAATCCAACAACGAACTTGTCGTGGGTAGCTAGCGTATCTTTGAGATCTTGATGTCCCTTGGTGATGGCGATATTCAAAGCATTAACAAGAGCCTGCTGTCGCGTAGCACGCTCAACTTTCAACTTCTTGACATCGGCACCACGCTTCTCGGTTTCCGCCTTTGCCAGCTCTGCCGTAACTCGCACCAGCTCTTCACGTAGAGTTGCGACAAAGGGATGGAATTCCATAGCAACTCTCATCTTCTCCTCTGTTGTTGCACGGCGACCTGGCGGACTGTAGATTATGCCAAGGGCATCCCAGGTTGCGGCCTCGGCGACATCCGTTGGACGTGGCTCGGGGCGAATCTGTTCCATTGTTAGTAACAAATAACAGATAACAGACAATAGAAAATAACAACGATATGAAGAACAAGGAAAAGGTGTTGGGGGGGGGGGGGCGGTTCTTTGTTAGTCGTCAAGGAAACTCAAGTCTCGGGACTCGAACATAAGCGTTCACCATCACACCCAACAATAAACAACAATAAAACCGAACTTGCCTCGTCTAGCGTCCTCATATCTCCCAGCTCCTCTTCCTCATCCGAATACTCCGACTCGTCCTCTGAGCTCGTATACTCCTCCGAACTCGAGTCCGCCGGCGACACCGACGGCGGCCTACGGCTGCTTATCTCACCCGCAGGAATATTCGCAGCAGATAAAGGCGTGGGTCGCTCCCTCCCAAGTAAATTAGACTTCCTCGCGGTGGCGTACTTCTTTGTACCTGGGGCGCGGATTTTCTTAGGTTTGCTTGTGGGGACGGCGGAGAGTTCTAGACGAGAGGATGTCAACAATGCACTTTTTATAAATGAACTAAGCCGGGGGGGGGGAGGGGGAAACACTTACTATGCTCGAGGCCAGGTACTAGGACCTTTCCACTTCGGTTAGGCCGGCCTTGCCAGACGGGAAGTGCTTTTGCTACGGACGAGAATTAGTTCGGTGCTTTCACAAAGGGGGTGAGTACACCAATTGTTTAGTGGTTAAACTTACAGGAATACCTATTGTCTAGTTCAATCGAGCCTACACCAAGGACCGCCCAAGGAGCCTGGGAGAACCTGCGAGATGGAATATCCTTTGTTTCAGCCAGCAACTCAGGGTGCGTAACCCTAAGCTGTGCGGAAGCATATTTCTGAGCTGCGTCCGATACACTGGGAATAGGCTGGCTAGGAATAGGCTGGCTCGCTGGTGAAGGTTGATTTACTGGTTCGGGCTGGCTTGCAGGCACGGAAGGCAAAGCAGGCACGGGTGAGATGGCGGCATGTTGGCTAACCACAGGGCGAGAAGGGGCATGCTGAGTCTGAATCTCCGGCTGCACAGGGTGATATTGCGGCACCGGAGTCGAAACTGGGACGGACTGTTCCTGGAACTCCGGCTCTGGCGTCCATGACTGGCGGAAATTCTGGCTGGCAGCATTGCTGGGAACGGGCTGCTGAGTCAAGATATTTCTCGCTGGAACCGGCGCAGGATATTGCACGGCCCTGTCGAGATCATGTGGCGAGATCGTTACAGGCACTTGAGCTTGAGGGGAGTAGGAGTATTGACCTTGGTTGGGCGCATACTGCTGGTGAGATTGGAGAGACACCTGCTGAGGCATCTGCTGTATAGGGCTCTGGCTGGTGGTCGGGTAGGCGCCATACTGAACTCCATACTGTCCCAGGCTGGTATTTGAGCGTAGGGGCTCCTGGCCATATACGGCCTGATATTGCGCATTTGGATACACAGGTGACTGGGAAGTGCCATAATTAAATTGCGACTGAGCAGGCAGGATATATTGCTGCTGCTGGATCTGCTGCGGGTGTTGATGTGTGAGTTGGTGCTGCTGGTGGGCATGCGGGTGCTGGTACTGCTGTGAATTGAAGATATCCTCGGCATACAGTGCGGGCTGCTGCTGTTCCTGCTGTTCCTGCAGCACCCATTGATTTTGGTCAATTAAAGACGGGTCGACGATGTAATTATTCATCTGTTGACCCAATTCATGCGAGTAGTTCTCATCTGCTCTGATGGGGTTGTTATCCTGCACGTGATCCATATTTGTTAGATGGACCGTGCGGGGGTGCGGCTTTATCGGAATTATTTGGCCGTGACCGTGGGGTTGGGATGTGGCTGTGGAGAGACGGTGGAGATGGGAGACACTAAGCGATAGACGGCCGTGAACCGTGAACGTGAACCGGGACCGTGGACCGGGACCGGGACCGTGAACCGTGAGCGACCACTCAACAACAGACGGGTCAAAAGACGACGGGACCTGTTCCCCAGCTAAAAGTCATGGATGTACTGTAGAGTGACGCTGTAGGTTTGAGGGAGTGAAGAAAAGGTGAGTTGTGATGTGAAGTCGTACTGTAAATAAAGTCGCGCTGTACGTCGAATTAAGAGTACGTACGGTATCTCTCCTTTGCTCTCCTCTCCTGCCTCAAGTGTACGCGCTTCTTCTCGCGATTGTAGGTACAGCCCAGTATTTGGCGCTTCTCGCGATTGTAGGTACAGCCCAATATTTGACGCTGCAAAAGACTCGAGGAAAGGGCCGGACGGACAACCACAGACAACCACAGACAACAACAGACAACCACAGACAACAACAGATAACCCACAATGCAGAAAACACCCCTTTAGGCGCGACAACAACTCAACCAACACGCAGCAGCAACACACGTTCCTGCGCGTGTATTTTGCACTGCTGCTGTCTTGTCTGTCTGTATACACTTGACTGTCCTCTGTTCTGTTCCGCTGTCCACCATCTGTATCCTGTGTCTGTATCCTGTGTCTGTATCCTGTGTCTGTATCCTGTGTCTGTATCCTGTGTCTGTATCCTGTGTCTGTATCCTGTGTCTGTATCCTGTGTCTGTATCCTGTGTCTGTATCCCTCTCTGTATCCTGTCTCTGTATCCTTCTCTGTATCCTGTCCGCTTCCTCCTCGCGCGCGCGCAACAAAAAAAATAACGATGCGCCTGCTGTTGACCCTGAACCCGACAGTCCTGACAGCGCTTGCGTGGAGTATTACACCCCTTACAGCGCCTGTTCAGCGCCTGTCAGCACAGCCAGGACAACAGCGCAAATACTGCGCGCTCCTTCTTTAATTGAGTATTCGTACGCTTGGGGTGATGAATTTATGAATTGATTACGATGAGGGAGAGAGAGAGAGGGAGGAGATGGGAAAGGAGGAGGACGAGGAGGAGCAGGTTTCGGTGTTTGACGTTGGGTCCATTGAAGAAGATCCTTGCCGCACTGGCCACGTCGCGCTTAAGCGAGCTATGAGTTGAGGACGCTATGACGACGGAGAGTGCCGTTGGTGCGAGAGAGCTACTACGGATACAATTATTCATAATACCCTCATTCTCTCAAACCTACCATATTGCAGCTGCTCCTGTCAAAACTGCAAGAGTCGTATGAGAGCATTCCCCGCGCTAGACTGATGCGCCCATCTCCTGCCGACTCTCATCCCCTTCATTCCCTTCATCCCCTTCATCCCCTTCATCCCCTTCATCCCCTTCATCCCCTTCATCCCCTTCCTTAATCAACCACCACACCAGTCGAAGAATGGCGACCACCCACCCATCCCTCCGCGAACGCCAAATCCGTAAGAACCCAAATACCACCTCACACGCTGGAAGAACCAACACTAACTGGGACACAAACAGGCTCCATCGAGAAGATCCTCAATTTAAACCATGCCCAGGATCCCGCAGCCAGCCATGCTGACCCGAGCGCCAGCTCTCACGAGATATCCTCGACGTCCGTCCCGATCCTGGATGAGGATGGAAACCCGATATGGAAGATCCTGGTGTTTGATGATTTGGGGCGGGATATCATCAGCAGCGTGCTGAGGGTTAGCGATCTAAGAACATGGGGGGTCACAATGCACATGTACGAGCCCACTCCAGGAGAGCTCACGCCTTGAAAGCTCACACACCCATAACATACAGCTGACGTCTCTAGGCACATTGCTTCAGCACGAAACCCCATACCCGACGTCCCCGTCCTCTACCTCGTCGAACCCTCCTCCGACAACCTCAAAGCCATCACCACCGACCTAACCCGCGGCCTCTACTCCCCGGCCTACATCAACTTCCTCTCCTCGATACCCCGCCCCCTCCTCGAAGACTTCGCATCCCAGACCGCCGACGCCGGAACCTCAGAGAATATCGCGCAGGTCTTCGACCAGTACCTGAATTTCATCGTCAGCGAGCCGGATCTGTTCAGTCTGGGTATGCGCAAGGATCACACGTACTGGGCGCTCAACAGCGCGAAGACGACGGATCAGCAGCTGGAGGATATAATAGAGCGGATTGTGAGCGGCCTGTTTAGCGTCGTTGTTACTATGGGTATGTTGCCGATTTTCCCGTAGGAGCTGCGCGGGTTTAAGAAAGCTAATCATGGGCAGGCGTCATCCCCATCATCCGCTGCCCCAAAGGCGCAGCAGCTGAGATGATCTCCGCGAAACTCGACCGCAAGCTACGCGACCACATCCTCAACTCAAAAGATAACCTCTTCTCCAGCTCCGGCCGGCCCTCCACATCCACCAGCGGCACCTCCTCGCGCCCCGTTTTGTTGATCCTCGACAGGAACGTAGATCTGATCCCCATGCTCTCGCACTCGTGGACGTACCAATCCCTCGTCCACGACGTGCTAAACATGAAGCTCAACCGCATCACCGTGGAATCCCCTATCGATGAGGAGAACCCTGCAAAGGGCACCACGAAGCGCAGCTACGACCTTACCGCCAACGACTTCTTCTGGACGAAAAACGCCGGCCTGCCCTTTCCCCAAGTCGCCGAGGACATCGACGCGGAGCTAATGCGCTACAAAGACGACGCCGCGGAAATCACCAAAAAAACCGGCGCCTCCTCCCTCGAAGACCTCCAAAACGACACCAGCGCCTCCGCGCAACACCTCAAAGCCGCCATCACTCTCCTCCCCGAGCTGCGCGAGCGCAAAGCCGTCTTGGACATCCACATGAACATCCTCGCCGCGCTGCTGAACGGAATCAAGAATCGCCAGCTGGATAACTACTTCCAGCTTGAAGAAACAATCACGAAGACGTCGAAGGCGCAGATGCTGGAGTTGCTGAATGATGAGGATAAGGGGAAGGAACCGTTGGATAAGTTGAGGGTGTTTATTATTTGGTTCTTGAGCACCGAGCAGGAGGTTTCGAAGGGGGATATGGATCGGTTTGTGGAGGCGTTGGGGAAGGCGGGGGCGGATACTAGTGCGGTGGCTTATATTCAGAAGTTTGTTTTTCCCCTCCCCTTTTTTAAAAATCCCCCCCACTAACCACACCAACAGAGTCCGCGCAACAACCCGCATGACAATGCTAACCTCCACCGCCCTCCCCCCCACCACCCCAGCCCCTTCTTCCTCCTCCGACCTCTTCCGCAACTTCTCCTCCATCTCCAACCGGCTCACCGACCGCCTCGCCGCCACCGGCGTAACCGCCAACTTCGAGACCCTAATCTCTGGTGTAAAAAACTTCCTCCCCGCAAACCGCGATTTGACCATCACCAAGATCACGGAATCCATCATGGATCCCGCCGCCGCGTCAAGTTCGGCGATTGCGAAGACGGAGAATTATCTGTATTTCGACCCCCGCTCCGCCAACGCTCGGGGGACTGCACCTCCGCCCTCCGCGCCGCGCGGTGGGACAGCTAGTCCCATGCCCGGCGGCCTCGGGAGTCTGGGACCCGGCACAGGCGCCAGCTTTGGACAACGCCGCCAGGGGTTCAGCGAGGCGGTGGTGTTCACAGTTGGGGGGGGGAGCATGGATGAATACGGCAATCTTTTGGAGTGGGCGAAGAGGACGGGGGAGGGGGGTGTGGGTGCGGCGAAGGGGGCGGGGAGGAGGAGGGTGGTTTATGGGAGTACGGAGATTGTGAGTGCGGGGGAGTTTTTGGGGGTGGAGATGCATGGGTTGGGGGTTGAGGTGTCTAGCTAGAAGATAGATGAAGAGGAGGGGAGAGGGGGAGGTAGATAGAAGGGGGGGAGGGGGGTAGAGATGGGAGGGTGGTAATGCATGATGATACCTGCACGGCTTGCCGTCATCAACTGACAGGCGGACTGAATCATTGATGGATGATTTGATTGAGCTTAACCATGCTTTCTATTCCGACACTATCTACCACGCTACCAACTAGACCAGGCCATGTATCCAGCCATGGCCCCCTCGCCCCATCCCAACCCAGCCCAGCCCAGCCATGATGTATACACCACCCTTCCCTTCCCGCGAAATCACCGCAATGCACACAAACAACAGAATGATCCCGACGCCATTTTCCCCGTTCTTTTTCCATTTCCCATGCCTCCCATCCATCCCATCCTACCCCATCCTACCCCATCCGTTTCCATTTTTGCGCCCAAATAAAAAAAGAAATCCTCCAGGGATTTATATAATCGAGCCAAACAATGAACATGAATGAAAGCTGAAACCCCCAGAGCTGAACAGACAGGCAGGCAGACGAAATAGAAACAAACGCCTATCCACCACCTTCAGTGCAGTCCAGGCCATATGTGTATCTACACCGAAACCAAATAAATCGCAAGAAATAAAGAGTGGCGTATATCATAAACCCACCCGCGGCCGGCAGTGGTCTAACAAAATAACCCATCAACGCGCGTGCTTCTCATAATTCTCCACCTCCCTCACACCCCTCGACACCAACACCCCCCCAAACTTCTCCTCCCCCCTCACCAACGGCGGCGGCAGCGGCATCGCCCCAGGCTGCGTAAGACCCAATCCCGGCCCCACAGGTGTACTCTGATGTCTCGAATGTCCCCCTCGCGGAAAGGCCACGTTGGCGGACGGGTACCTCTGCCCCTCCTGCATCCCCTGGTGGCTATGGTTATGGTGGTGGGGTTGATTGTGGTGGGAGCTGTGGCCGTGGTTCTCAGGAAACTGATACCCCGCCCCAAAATACGACCTCATATGCGACACCATCACTGGCTGTTCCGGGAACGGGAAACCATTAACATCCGATCTCGAGCGACGATGTCCGTTATCAGGGGCGGCGAGGAGCATGGTTGAGCTAGAGCGCAACGGATACCGTGTCGGCGCTGGGCCATCACTAGCGAGGATGCTGGGGAGGGATTGCAACGACGGCGTTAATGCTGGTGGCGTGCGTAGAGGGGATCTGTATGGGCCGTGGGTTTGGAATACATCGCTAGCGCTTGAGGACGCCGAGAGGATCGAGGGGTGCGCTTCATACGCCCCCGTAGTAACGTTAAGCCGAAGCCTCTGGCTCTGCGCCGTGAGTTCCGCATCCGCGTCTTCAGGGGAGCAGTCGCGGCGCTTGCGTTTATGGTGGAGTGGGCCATCTTGGTTTTCAAAATTGCTATTCGATCTCGACCTCGGGGCGGTGTTGAACTGCAGGTCTTCAGGAAAGCTGTCGAGTGGGGGTGGTAAGGCGCCGCCCATGGATCGGGATCGCTGGTGGCTGGTGGTGGGTGTTTTGCGGCGCCCGCCGTAGCGCATGGGGGATTCGGATTCGTCGCCGTCGAGAGTGATGTGGGGGAGGATCTCGATGTCTGGGAAGACTGGGCTGGGGGAGTTTAGGAGTTCTTGGTGAACACGGTTGAATATATCTCTGATGTCCAGCGTGCTGTAGGTCTTGCCGCACAGGCTTCTGAGCCAGAGAGGGACGGCAGTAGCTGGTGCGGAAGGGTCGACGTCCTCGTAGTTTCCGACATATGGATTTCCCCTCCCACCCCTCGCCTTGGACAATGCGAGGTCATCCAGTCGTTTTTGCTCCCGTTTGCGAACAGCGAGACCCCAGCTCCTGACCACACCACCCTCCTCGCGACGCTCATTCTCGGCGCTCCATTCTTCTAGTCTCTGGATCTGTTTCTGGACAAGATCACACTGACAGCGGGGCCAGTTCTTTGGCTCTCGATATCGACTCCTTTGGTAGTGTTTGCGGCAGTATCGCACCCAAACATGCTCTGGGATGAGTCGCGTGCACATTTTGTTGCGCCCAAAGATGTGAGACACGGCCTTTCGGGGCTGCGAACCGGTATCGCATCCTTCTTTGAACATGCATGTTGAATGCAGGTCCTGTAGTGGTGGTGTATACTGCGAACCTAAATGCAACGCATCATCCAGAGTCTCGGCTTGCGGCGACTCATTCTCGGGATGTTGGGACGAAGGTGGAGTAGGCTCAGATCTCCGATACCTTGCCAACATATCGCTTGTAGGTTGTCCAAACGAAGCACCTGACTGGCCTTGGATATGGGGCTCAGAGAAGGCCCTTTTATGACGTCTAGACTCCATAGCGAACCGGCCCGAGTGAGACTCAAACTCTCGGCGGCTCTCCGATGGTGGAAATGAGTTTAGGCGGTCTAGCTGTGCTCGTGATTGATACTTCCAAGGCGCGATATTTTCTTCGCCAGAAGGGTGAGGCTGGGCAGACACACTTCCAGCTGTCTCAGACTCTTGAGGAGTTAGCGGTGTGTGCCTTTTGATAAGCAAAGCATCCGTTGGTGATGCCGTCCTTGACAGAGCTGGCTGTTCAGAGGTGGCGCTTGTCGCTCTAGCATCGACATCAGCCATCTCACTATCCCTGTAGTGTTCTTCTAAAGTGCTGTCGGCATCCATGAATCGTCCCTCAGCGATTTGAGCCAGAACGTGTATTAGCTCCGCACGAGGCGATGGAGGGTAATGATGGAAGCTGAACGTGGCAGGGGAAGCTGGTGAGAGCGTAGCAGAGTTTGCCAGAATACTGGTCCAGTCCAGGGTAGAATCTGATAATTTGGAACTGTCCGTAAAGTTGTTGAAGACTTGGAACCCGCCAACAGTTGATGCTGAGGAAAGTCTTGAGTGCGTTGAAGTTGATGCAGAAGCAAGAGAAGAGAGGGATCCGCGGCTGTCAGATAAGCTATGCTTGGTGGGATACGTCTGTGATGATTCAAGAGAGGAGTCATGATGATGAATGTGTTTGCTGATTGTCGTATCCAGATCGTGGTTCACTGGTAGTGAATAACCGCCAGCATCCCAGGGCGTCCGACTTCGGATCGCGGCTTCCCCAGTGAGTAGTGGCCGTGGCTGGTCTCCATCGTCGGGCGATGCATTTAGCATCAATCCGACTTCCATTTCGTTATTGTATCCGCGTTGGCAGTAAGATATGTCTTGGTGGAACAATCATCCAGGTAAATGTTTGGTTGTTAGCTGACAACTGCCATCCGATGCTAGTCGAGTGATCGAACGTAGGGGTGTCGACCAGATAAAATGGATCCAGCCTTCCAGATATCTTCTTAATCTTGATGCCAAGGGTAATCAACGTCCTGGCAGACGATGGGGCGAACGAATAAGATCATACGTCTGTTGATATATTAGTGACTATAGTGTCAAAGAATGAAACACTGCTGGCGTCGTTTTCTTCTCCGCTATAAACCTCGCATGCATTTCCCGTTCAGGACGCCCAGAGGTAGAGATGGACAGAGGCAATGTTAAAAGTGTGTTGCTTCTTCTTCGCAGGTGTATGCACAGGCGCCGAGGAGTGAAATTGTCGAAACGCCAGGCACGGCACACTGTATACAGTTCTTTCGCCTGAAGATACCGAGTGCTTGACTTCAAACCACCAACCGGACCGGGTGCGGTGGTAAAACTTAGGTTGTGAGAAGTCCCAGCGGGGGGCATCACCGTCACCGCGCTGTCGAGGCGTAAAATATGTGCTCTAACCTCCGGGACTATGCATGATATATCCGATTCGGTTGACATGCATGCAAATCAGAGAGATGGAATGCAAACCTACAGCAGTATCTCACTTCTAGCTCATAAATAGAAGATCTATTGCCTTCAGACCTTGGGACTATCCTGCAAGCCGTTGAAGATCTGTGAGTTTTGATGTGCCTGTCACTTCCCTCCAGTGCCGGCCAAAGTAAGAAGGAGTGAGGATTTAACGTTGCGTTGGTGGGCACACGAACTGAAGAGCCAATGAGACGATAACGACAGGAGTTTGATAGAATAAATATGTTGTATCAAAAGTAATGAAATATGACAGAAGAGACAGCTAGTAAAGGAAGTCGCTCGTTTGCATAAGGCCAAGATACGCCGTTCGTATCGTATCATCCAGGGAAGGAAGAGAGGAAGGAAGACGGTGGAATCTGTGACAAGCAGTGTCGTGGTCTCGGCGGCACCTCGCACGGCAGCATCCAGTAGGGCGGAGTCTATTTGTGGGAGAAAGGTCTAAGAAGTATAAGCCTGTGTGCTACATGTAGTCTCACATCCCACGCCATAGGGTGTGTGTGTTGGGGGGGGGGTTGAAGGGGGGGGGGAGGGGGGGGGAGGGGGAAGGCAACAGACAAGGTGCAAGACAAGACAGATGCCTACCGAAGATGGTGAGTGGTGAGATGCACAGTAAAGCTATGTGCATGCAGTCCGGCAGCCATAGCGAGATCATCAAGTGTTAGTTTAGTGTAGTGAGGGTGAGGCTAGAAGAGGAAGGTTGAGACAGGGAGGGCATGGTATCGTTATCATGGGGGAAGGAGCTAGCATAGTAGAAGAGTAGAAGAGTAGAAGAGTAGAAGAGTAGAAGAGTAGAAGAGTAGAAGAGTAGAAGAGTAGAAGAGTAGAAGAGTAGAAGCTAAGGGTTGGTGGCATTGTAACGAGTAAGTTCTTTGAGGTTTGAGGTTTGAGGCAGGAGACAGGAGGCAGTGACGGTCTGTAGCGACACTCATGGTCAAGGTTCATGGGCCATGTTTCGGTACTCGTGGCCGGCTCATGGCTCACAAATTGCTCATAGATTGGCCCATAAATTGCTGATGGGTAGCTGCTTTTGAAGCTTAATGGTGTGTTGTGGTCAGTGGTTGTTGTTTGTTGTTTGTTGTTTGTTGTTGGTGGTTTGTGAGTGGTGGCGGTGGTGGTTTGTGGGTAATTAGGCCCTGTGGTGCGTGCTGTGGTGATGGTGATGTTGGCCTGTTTCGGAATCTGCAGTGCAAATCAGGACCAGATAAAGCCGTTCTGCGCCTCCATAGTGCGAGGAGCCGAGTATCCAGATCGCGATCGGCTGAAACCACTGCGTGTCCGTGTCGCGCCGCACCGGCAACAATAAAAGAAAATACTAAAGGAAAATACGGGGCCAACGCACCCACACCGCACTGCAGCACGCTAGAGTCGCGGTATCCGCTCGCCGGACACTTTTCCAACACACCATGTCTGATCGGCCACGTCTGATCGGCCACGTCTGATCGGCGGGCACGTCTGCTTGCGGCGCCCCGCACTTCGTGGATTGGGGCGCAGCAGTCGCGCGGGCCGGGTGGAGTGTTTTCTTCCAACGAGGTCGTTAGTGGGGAGAGATGTGATTCTGGCATGGCGATCGGGATCGTGGGGGGAGGGGAGGCATGGGAGGGAGGTGAGGTTAGGGCTTGGTTTCAGGGGGTTGGGGAGTTTGCATGATGGGGGCTGGGTTGGTTTATTGGGTATTTGTGTTCCAGTGAGCTTGGACGTATGATGCTTGCATCGAGAGATGCAAGCATAGTTGAATCGACTTATCAACCTCTTGCCCCTTGATAATTTCCACCAATCTGGAAATCCCGACCGCAGGAGACAGCGGAACAGAATCATGAAGGGAACGCTGAGCCGAGGCTTGTTCTTCCAAAAGTTCATGTGCACTTGAATTCCACATTCACCGCGTCTCTGGGGGATTTGAGAAGTGTCCGGTCAAATCTCCATAGCTTCTCTTTTGCCAATTTCTTCCATCCCAAGTCTATTCCCCCTGTCCCGTCTGTAAACCCCACTTCATCGACTCCCCACGGTGCTGAGCACCTCAACGGGTGCACACATGCCCGTAGCTCTCCATAAACGCTATGCTTGGGACCTCCAAGCCTGACTCCTCAAGGTGCACATGCATCGCCAAAAGACCGCCCCTGATGTAAATGTAAATGAACAATACAATGTGTAAAAACCACGCTGTAGGCAGGCAACAACCTCACGCGCCAGTGAAAACCCCTATCAAAACAACAATCTAAAGCTCAATCTCAATGCCCAAGTCAATCGCGCCAATAATATCATCATCGCACAACGGCCTCCTCATCGTCGCAATCCCTCCATTCTGCTTCTGCTTCTCCATCTCCGCGTGCAGCTTCGCCATATGCGGTAGAACCCCCGACTCTTTCTTCGGGCTCAGCTTCGGCGTCGCCACCTTAGCAGGCGTGCTCGCGCCGCTGCCCGACTCCTTATTAACATCGTGCTTGAGCACGGCGCGCGTGCGGACGCGACGGCTATGGTCTACAACCGCATCTTCACCACGCGCAATCGCAGCCTCAATCCGGCGCTGCTCGCGCATCTCGCGCAGTTGGGCAGCCTTGATCTCCTCGTTGTTCTTGCGGCGGTTCTCGTGGTTGATGATGGCGAGGCGGTCCTGCTGGGACAGGGCCTTGGGCCCGGTCTGGGCGGGGGTCTTGTGGAGAGAGGTGCCGAAGGCGAGTTTGGGGCCTTCGAGGGCGGCGAGCTCAGCCTTGATCTCCTCTTGGCGGTCGACGTCGCCGAGGAGCTTGGCTTGGTTGAGGCGCTTATTGAGCTTGTTGCGGTCCACGGACTTGTATTTTGCGGCGAGGGCGCCGGAGCGCCGGAGCTTCTCGGTCAGCTCGGCTTCGGTCCAGCTGCGGTTCACGAGCGCGTCGATGCGTCCCACTTGGGTGGCAAGTTGGCGGCGAGTAGGAACATTGACTTTCTCAACGAGACACGTCTGCATGTAGCGTTTATACTCCGCCTCGGTGATGGGCGAGTTAGAACAGGTGAAGAATGGCCAGGGGCGGACCGCTTTCCCATGAGCGGCAGTGACATATTGTGTTGTGACAAAGGTCTGGCCGTTTTCTTTCTCCAAAGCATACGGTTTACCCTCTTCAAAGCCTGTAAATTTGTTAAACCGAGCCCAGAAGAAACGCAGCAGAAGTACTAACCCATGATTTGAGCCATGCGATAGACATTGTCACCAGTCTCCTTATCCGCCCCAACACTGACACGAACAAATCCACCATGGTATGCATCTTCAAAACCAGGGTAGAAACAGAGCTTCGCGAATTTCGTTCTCCCAATGGACACCTTGTGAACGTCGGGCAATTCGCAGGGCGGAGAGTGTGTCGGCGGGGAGGCGGAACGGGCATGTTTAGGCTTCCCATCATCCCATTCCAACTCGCTATCCGCACCAGCATCGTCATCGGACTGGTCGTGATTGCTGGCCCTGTGGCCGCCATTGCGCTCCAGATCCTCCTTGCGGCGTTTCAAGCGGTCGGCCTTCTCATCTCTAGCGCGCTTCAAGCTGTCGATGCCACTGCTCGCCTCTCCGACACGTCCACCACCAACCTTGGTGCGCTGCCGAGAAGTCTTGCGCTGGTTTTCGTCTAAATCGGCATTGCCAGCCTTGCGCTTCTTGTCGCCTCTCTTTTGCTCAGCCTCGCGCGCGTGGAGCAGTTGGCGCAAAGCCCTATTCTGGCGATCGCGTTCGATTTCCATAGAGCGCTCTGCGAGAATCTCCTCTCGTTTGATCTCGGGCATCGCAAGAATCTCCGCTCTATCGGAGGAGTTCACGAATTTGCCCTCGAGCGGGTATCGGTCTCCATCATCGAACATTGCCGGGCCATTGTCTGAATCCGACTCCGATTCATCCATAGGAGCAGATCGCTGTGAGGCCGGTGACAAGTTCCTCGAAGAACTAACGCAGAGTCAGCAAATGGTACATTGCAACGCGCGACGCGATATTTAAGGCGGGTGGCAAAGTTAGGTCGAGTGGGAAATTCTTACGCTTCGCCCTCTTCTTCCGACTCGGTGCGTCTGCCGCGAGCCTTCTTGGCCGTGCCTTTGCTTCCAGAAGGCGTGTTTGTGTCTGGAGAATCAGATGCAGTTCGGGTAGCCGTGACAGGCACGGTGTCTTCATCCGAAGATGCGTCACCCGCGAGGGCGAGGAGCTCTTCGTCGATATCCGACATTGCGATAGATCGCGATAGATTGCGATAGATTATTTCAAGTATGCGATTATGTTGATTAGGCGTGTGTGAGGCCTGTGTGCCGGCGCTGGCACAAAGGGCCTTGGTGAATTCGTGTGCTCGTCTACAAGGGGTTGCCTCGGGAAGCGCAAGGTCAGATCAAGCGAAGTAGTGAAAGTTCAATATGAGAGACTCTCAGACTCGGTGCGATGTATCGGAAAAGTTTGTGAGGCAAAGTAAAGAAGTAGAAGAATGAACTTGTGAGGTTGTTGGAAGAAGAAAGAATAAAGAGAGTTGGCTCGATGGAAATGGAGGGCGATATTTGGTTGCAGAGGTGGCTGAGGGTGCACGAACTTTATCGCGGAAAATACTTTTTCCGAAAACCTTTTATATTTCCCGACCATGCGTCAATGGCCAGCCATCATCGGAATGCCAATAATGCCTTGATAAACCTCGAACGCAGCAACAAACCAACAATTTGAACCTCGAATCTCTCAGCTCCAATCTATCTACACGCTTATTTACTACATATTTGCTATTTATTTACTGCTCATCTGGCTAAAACTTTCTTTATATAGCCACAATGGCACCAATAAGCACCAAACCCGCAGCCCGACTCGTCCGATGCAACCTCCCAATATATGATTTTCTAACCCCACGATTCTCCCAAACCATCCGCACACGAGCTCTCCACACATCACCTCGAGACCGCACCGCAGCCGCAGCAGCAGCTGCACCCTCCCCCAACACCCCTCCCGCAGCCACGTCGTCCACCCCATCACCGGCCTCCAAGCCTTCCAAGCCCCTAACCCAGGCCCAACGAGACTTCCTCTCCAGCGCCGTAAGCCTTCCCCTTCTCCTCCCCCTCTCTATCCTCGAGCCTCTCTAACCCACCCCCAGCTGCGCGTCAACCAAGCTGGCGAGCTCGCCGCAACCCTCATCTACCGCGCCCAAACCCCCCCCATCGTCGCCTCCCACCCCCACCTCCGCACTCTCATGAAACACATGTACGACCAAGAAGCCGCCCACTTCTCCACCTTTAACGCCCTCCTCGCACGACATCGCGTGCGTCCCACAGCCCTCTACCCCGTCTGGGTCGCCGCCGCCACCGCGTTAGGGTGGGGTACCGCGTTCCTTGGCCGCGAAGCAGCGATGGCGTGTACGGAGGCGGTGGAGACGGAGATAGGGGGGCATTATAATGAGCAGGTAGCAAGCTTGTTGGAGATGGTGAAGGGGATGGAGGAGGAGGCGGTGGAGGTGGGGGAAGAGTTGAGGGGGTTGGTGGGGGAGATTAGACGGATTAGGGATGAGGAGTTGGAGCATTTGGATCATGCGGTGGAGAATGATGCGAGGTTGGCGGTGCCGCATGAGTTGTTGACGGGGGTTATTAGGGTGGGTTGTCGGGGGGCGATTTGGGTTAGTGAGAGGGTGTAAGTAAGTTGGGGGTGGGTGTGGGCGTGTATGTCATATAGAGGAAGAACATGTACGAATATGTATAGCTGTCATATTATATAAATCGTTGTATTCCAAGAGAGGACAATAAGGATGTCCAAAGATATTACACATATTATGGCATTGTTATACTATGTTTAAACAAGTCTATTCGAACAGACTACGAGAATACACACCATAATGGCTAGACCATGCACCCCCCTTCGTCACTCCCCACCGACTCCAAATCACATCAACGAATATGTACGGCTCTCTAATATCAATACTTACGTTCGAGCTTTCCCCATGCCATCCAACCCACACCATCTCTACTCCCTTATCCTCCTACATTCATCTCGCCTTGTTTAATCACTAAAAAAACCCCCGTTAGCCAAAATTCCCCTCCCAACACCAAACAGCATTCTCGGGGAAGGAAAAACTTACTAAATCTGCAACGGCGCCACCTGATCAACCTGATACAGCCAATTACTATTGTGCTCCTCCGACTTCAACCACTCCGTCGGGAACTCCACCAAATTCCCCTGCACAAGCTCCAGCATCGACAAAGCCTCCTCCCTCGTCAACAAGTCCTCCGCAGCCGAGAACCCCTTCTTACTCTTCGTCGTCACGCGCCTGCGCCTTGCCCTCGTCGAGCCTTGGTGCGTGGGCGCGGCAGCCTCGGCCGCGCCAGTAGTGGTCGTAGTAGGCGGCAGCGCAGAGAACGTAGTCGTGCGCATGGTCGTCGAGTCTAGGCCCGTAGTCGGGACGCGACCTGCAGCGCTGTCGATGGTGCTCCCGCGATCGACGGGCGCGGGGGACTTCTCGTCGAATTCTGGTCCCTTGCCCTTGGAGAGTGTAGCTTCCTTCTCGCCCACATAGGAAAGAGCTCTATGTCTCGCGTCCGCAGCGTCAGCCCACTCCTTCATGCCGCCAGTGGGATGTTCATCGTCGTGACCTGCGCTCAGTTTCTCAGCAACGTTCGTTATGGTCTCACCCAACACACCCAGGTTCTGCAGCGGCATGCTAGCACCGGGTGGTCCACTCTTGCCTTTACTTTCCTGCTCCTGTCTGCCCTCGCTCTTGACACCCTGGGACTGGGCAAAGCGCTCGGAATATGCCTGGAACTCGGTGTACTCATGCCAGTTGGTCACTTCGTTGTCGGGGTTGCAGCGGAAGACGCGGCGGAAGATCTTGGTGTTGTTCTCGGCGATGCGGGTCCATACGTTGTCGAAGAAAGTGTCGTTGAGGGGATCGCGCATGCAGTCCTTATCCACGAGGGCACACGTAATATCCGCGGTCAAGGGATTGAACGCGGCATTCTTCCCACCCTTGGAGTCTCTGTACACCGGAGGACCGCCAATATCCGTATCATCGACGACAGGGAGAGAAGGAAGTTGAGAAAGCTGCGACAACCCCAAAGTCTGCGTGTTGCTACGGGTCGAGAGAAAAGGTGGTAGACCAATGTTACCGCTCTCCTTTTTCTGCTCAGGCTCTTTGCCGGTCTTCGATTGTCGTTGATGCGGCTGCTTCGGATGCTGAAGAGTGCCTTTGCCCTCAGGGGCAATATCGGCGAGCAGAACCTCGCATCCACTAACCAGTGTCGAGTCGCGGCCACGGATTATTCCAGTCTTCTCAGCCTGTACCATCCTATCCGGGCCATCACCCTCAACTTCTACAATCCCATTCTCTCCCTCGTTTGAAGACTCCGCGCTGACATGTGCGCGCATGAAGTTGGAATTACCCTCCCCATCCGTATCAATGCTATTGTTGAAGCTAGGCAGGCTGCTATTCTGAGCAGTCGTATCTGCCTTCTTTCGCGCCGGACGGGCCTGGCCGCTTGCAAACTCTTTATCGGAGTCGTCGTCATAGACACCATCCATTCTAGACTCAAACAGCTCTTCCTCTCGGTCTAATTCAGCGCGACGCTCTTCTTCCATGACATCGTCTACGTCAACGCCGACATGCTCACGCATAAGACGCATTCGCAGTGTGTGCGCAAAGCGGCCCACCTGGAATGGCTCTCCGCCCATAGTCGACCAGAGGACATCAGTATCTCTAACGACAGCAGCACATTCAGAATCTCTGGAGCCAAGCATAGACCTCTCGTTGATATTGGCCGATCCAATAAGTGCAATCCGATCATCCACAATAATGACCTTGGCGTGGATATACAGCTGCTCCGTGACCAGCGTCTTGTTCGGCCCAATCTTGCCCCAAGCTCTCAAGCTGTAAAAGGAGACGAAATCCTCAGGCTCGATACCCTCATTCCTCAGTCGCCCAAAGATGGAGTTCTCGCCACGCGAGATACTGCGGAACTGGCACTGCATGATCAAACGGACACTGGTTCCATCAGGTGCATCGACCGTGTTCTGGAAGCCGGGCATGAGTGGGATGAGGATGACAATGCGCCAATTCTCATTGTTTTTGTACGCCCTCACTGCGCGCTCGACGATGGCATCACCGATCTTGTTGACAATCTTCACGTTCATAGTCTCACAGCTCGTAATGAAGAACTGGTTCTCCATGTAGACGAAATGCTCCGACTCTTCAATCATCTTGCAATACGCGTTCATGATGCTGTGTTCAGTGTCATCAATTCCCAGCGACCAGTTGGACGCTGATCGCAAGATCTGCACTTCACATGTGCCGTTCAGTCCAAGGCTCTCGAGCTCAGATTGGCAAAAGTCAGGCGGAGGTAGCAGGAACGGTGTTGGCCTTGTTGGCTTTCGGCCTCGCAAGACGTAATTCCAGCGCTGGACAAAGTGTCTCGTCAGATCGCGAGCAGGCTGCCCAACGACCTGCATCGAGACGTCGTGCCATGGCATTCTCGGTGTCTTCGAGCGGTCGTACATCTCAGCATACGGCGCGTTCAATTGGAAGAAATCCTGCACACGGGGGTTCGAGTAGTCCTTTCCAGGCCATAACTGGCAGTGGTCCGCATCCTTCGGCTCATCTGAGTGTTCAAATCCAGTAGGCTTGTCGTCACAAACAGAGTGCTGCGGGGTATCCCATCTGCCAAAGCATAAATCGATGCCTCCAACAAACGCCACCGTGTGATCGACAATGCAAATCTTCTCGTGGTGCGCAAAGAAGAACTGATTCTTCTTGAACTGGTTAGGAGATCTCTGGAGGAAGATGTTCGGATGCAGATCCAGCATCGAGAACTTGGTAAACTCAGAGTCGATGGGGACAGCAGCTTCAACATTACGGTAGATAATGATGAAGATTTTAACGCCTTCCCGGGCCTTCTTCCGAAGAAGTCGATCTAATCGCCACTTCTGACTGATTGCTGCAGGCCGACGCATATACAGCTGAGGACTAAGCCACCAATCATGAATATAGATAACGTCCTTAGCCATGTTGATAGCGCGAGACACATTCCACATGTAATCCCGACCGTCCACAAGCCATTGCGCATAAACTCCCTGCCGGACAGGAGCAAAACTATCAAAGCGATTCGGCTTGGACCACAGCGAGATCTTCATAATGAACTGGATTGACTCCTGGAACTGTTTCATAATCCGTTCGTTCTTGGCCAGAAGATCAATCCTCCTCTCCGAATTGCGCAGCTTTAGCCTGTGATGCTGGGGATATGTCGCCTTGGTCTTGGCTCTAATGGCCATATCCACGGCGTTCGAATCCTTGATCTTCTGCTTCAGCTTCTTCTCCTTGGACACAATCTCAAACTTGGCATCGAGGAAATACACATCGTAAATATGCATATTCTCAGGCGAATCCACACAGACAATATAACTGTGCCGAACCAGGAACCACTTCGGTGTATGCCTCGCAAATATCGCAGTCGGCGTAAGTATCCTCCGGAAATCAATCCCCTTCGACGTCCCAATGACCAGGAACCCCTCCTTTCCATGATAGCTCCCCTCAGCCGCAAGTCTAACACCCAGCGCGGACAGCTCTAGGAACTTGCACAGGCGGTTACTATCAGCCCGGAAAATAAGCCAGCGTATCATCGCCTGCAAATACTCCTCGAGCTTCTTCCGCTGCCTCTCGTTGTACTGCCTCTTGGATTCTCTGGCGTGTATTGAGATCTCTTCTGCAGTCATGCCGGCTGTGCTCTCGAGTTGGGCACTGGATCTCCTGCGGTATCCCATACCTGGGCGTGTCGGCCTCCTTCTCCTGCCAGGCAAGTCCATCTCGCTGTGTGTCGCTTCGCCGGCGGTGTCGTCATCTCTAATTGTATCAGCATCCCCACCTTCTTCGTCGCTGTCGCCTATGCCACGAACGCCTCTGAGGTACGGAAATGCTGTCCTGGGGAACTTTGGCTGTTTTGGTCTGTGCTCTATATCCCTCAGCTGAAGATACTTGTCGGTGCTGGCCTGGAGCTTGTATCGCAGGTGCAGGTTCAAGAAATCCTTCAGGGACCGATCAATAACCCATTTCATGCGGTTCTGGCCACTACCATACTCGAGCATGATGCGATAATTCAAGTGCCGTTCTGACTCGGCAACTTTGCCATCCTGGGTAGTACTACTATCGGTAATCGTGAGCTTCAGCTGTTCAAGCAAGACTGGTATCCTCTTGTTGCCGTGCTCGTCTCTTTGGATCATGCTCGCCAGCATCAAGGCGGCAGGCGCACCAGCACGAAGCTCAGCCATCAACTCCGCGGATTTCTTGTAGTCAACCATATGAGGCTCTTTCTTTTGTCCCAGCAGCTTAAGTCCATGTTTGACGACTCCCCAACGACGAGCTGCCGCTCCGCTAGTTCCTGCACGATCAAAGCCCAAGAATGGCCGCCTGGGCGATTGGCCCTCATTATCAGATCCACCCATGCCCGTCAGTCGTCTGAGTGTGAGTGGTCGGCGCCCAGGAGTCGTATTGGGATCATTCGGGTTGCTCCCCGAGTAATTATGGCCACGTCCTCCCGACACCCATGAGCTCCCCTTTCTCCAAGCAGATCCCATGCCCAGTCTATCTCTTCCTTCTCCTTCAGAAACGCCGCCACGAGGCTCTTCGAGATCATCAGGCATGGTGTTTCGGCGTCTCATCCTGCTAGACGATGCGCCCGCTTCCGCTGAGGTTGACTGGTCGATTTGCAGGCTTCCCCACGGCGGCCTGCGGTATCGACGCTTCTTCTTCACACGTGCAGCATCGTCCACGGTTTGTTCATCGGCTGTTTGCTCCGCATCGGCATCGGCATCACTGCCCTCCTCCTCCAGGGTCCCAGGCACCCCAATCGATGAGCCAAATCTCTCCGCGGTCGGCGAGTGCGGTGCAGACAACGACCCCCCAGCGTAAGATTGTACATTACCCGTGCTTTTGCTCCGTGTGTGTGTATTCAATCCTCCTGTTATCGCCAGAGCTCTCAGTTTAGACATGAGAGATATGCCCTTGCCCTGCGGATCTCCGTCCGCATCAGAGACATCCCATCGCGCCGGTATTGCTATATCCCCCGAATCGGCCCTTGCGAATTGTACACTTCTTCGGCCAGGAGGCGTCTGTGTGCCGTTCCCACTGTAGATAGCGCCGTTTCCCCTGACGCTTGGTGCAGCGGAGATTTGTCTGATGCTCGATGGCCGGGAGATTGCGGATGCTTCTGTAGAGGCAATGGGCGGTGGGGTCCCTAAAAATTCGTGCGGGAGGCCCCCATTCATATAGTCGTCCGCCTCACGTAGCTCTGCGTGGCGTGGTGTTGTGGGCTGGCTGGAGTCCTTGAAGGTCGGCCGTAAATCTGTTGTGGTTGAGCCATCGGTGTTGAGTTCGGTGCGGAGACCCGAATGTCGGAATGCCGCCGTGGGGATGTTCGTAGAGCTTGCAGCCGGCGATAGATTCGCAGGACTCCGCGTCATGGGTGATATGGATGTGTCGTCGTGTTTGGCCATGCCTGCGCTTTCAACTCCTGAGCCCAGAGAGTTCTGGTCGATCTGCAACTGTCAATTTCCCTTACCCTCGTAACCAAAGCATCTATAGCAATGCCTTCAAGCCCAAGCATCAAGCAATATGAGAGGTAGATTGCAATTGAAACATGAAAGTAATTTAATCGTACAGTAGACCACGGTCGGTGGTTGTTGGCTGTCGTTGGTCTCCAGGCCAATTTAATGGATGTCGTTGCGCCGAGACTCCCTAAATCTGAAAGCGCGACCCGCGACCCACGACCCGCGACCATACGTGGAAGTTTATGGTCTCGCAGATGCCACGCAGCTCTGACATATGAAGCCACATATATCATATTCTACTGGCTCTATATAATGGGTGATTACTTCTAATTATTACTCTGTATTTGTTCATTATGCCTCTTACAAAGTTCTCGGAATAGTACAGCAATCAACAGTCGTACTCAACAAAAAGTAGTACCTTGAGGCACACGCACGTCGGAGTTTCGGGATGATGTCAGTTCTCCATATGGGCCCACCAACCCAAGTGAGAGGATATACGACGTTCCTTTTTGTTTTCAGCCTCCAGCATTTAACTCTCTGAGGGGACTTTTCACATTTAACTATAAAGGCTAAAGAAAGGACAGCTTCCTTGTATATAGGAAGTAATTACTTTACTTTGTGGTGTTTCCTTTGACTATTTCACTGTTACTCTAGTTCTACAGCTGTTTTTCACATTCACTCCCCTGTAACGATCTGTTTTGCTTCGTCTTTTACTTTGTTCATCATAGTCGTGCACTACAGCAGCCGCCTTTCCCGACACCTCCTCCCCAGGAACAGTCGCGGGTTAAGTGGCACGAGTTGTTTCCTCTTCGTCTCAGCTCGGAGATGACTTCAACGAGGACGAGGGCTATGTCGACGAGGGCTATGTCGACGAGGGCTATGTCGACGAGGGCTATTTCGACGAGGAAGATGGAGAATATGAGGAAGAAGATGACTTCACATATATTAAAAGGGAGACCAGGCACGAAAGGCCGTCTCGCAGTTCGAGGAAACGCCGTAGGGCGGCGGCTGCTGGAGACGGAGTCACCCTCGACGACGAAGACGCCGGTGCAGTGGAAGGAGGAAAGCTCGACGCTGCCATTAGGTCGGAGATGAAGGGTCTCTCCCCCCACATGCGGCCCTACTATCATCCCCACAGTCGCATGTCAGGACTGCCATACAAGAAAAAAGTAACCTCAAGCCTCAAAGTCTGCGTCAGCATGAAAGCGCTAGTACAGCACTTCCTCGCCGTCTTCCCCCCCGACCACTTCTTCGAAGCCCTCACCTTCTTGCACCACTACGTCGACATTATCCGCAGCAGCGCGCTCGGGCAATGCTACATGGAGGGGATCTACTCTCATTTCCGCGCGCGCGCCAAGCTCTTCCTCGACTGGGAATCGGACCCCGAGCGCGAAGTTGAGAGTCCGTATACCAAGGCGCGCCTCGTGGATTTCATGGAGATGTTCCTGGTTGTGCCGGATTATGAGCAGCTCGAGCGAGACGACTTCTACGAGCTCACGAGCAAGAGAATCAATAATCGCCCTGGTAAACCGGTGGAGGCTCATAGTCTCGTAAGGGGGACTGATTTCTCCCTCAGTCGCGCGGTGCCGCCGCCGTCGAAACGGCAGGGTTTAGGTCAGAGATCTAGGTCTGCGCGTGGTCAGCTGTTTGTGCGTCAGTCTGAATGGGCGTCTCTTTTTTTGTCGCTAGGTAGGCTGCCTGGACGGGTTTGGGGGGGGGGGGGGTTCAGCTATGATATGGAGCTACAATTGGCTTTCGGGAGTTGGGAAGGAAATGCAGAAGTGGGCAGCGGTTTGCTTGTTTAGTCGTGGATTTTGGTCAGTGTCTCCTTAGCTAGGCATTTTTTGGAGGTGGCCATCGTCGTCAGATTGCTGCTGGTCTGGGTATCGGGGGGGTTGGCGGTTTGCTGTCGGGTTTGAGGGCCTACGGATCGCAAATGGGCATAGGCTTAGGCTTTGTTCTTAGAACCAGACAAAATGAAGCTTTGTTCGGGGGCAGGTTTCTTGTGTTCGATGCTTCTCTCCTCTGTTTCCCTGTTGACTTCGCTGTGTGTTGATATGATTACTTTACCTGCATGTTGAGACATCTCAATTACGGCGGTCATTTGGATTTGTGGTACGCCGGTTTGTGACTGCCTGCCGTAAGTGGTCGTGTGTTTAAACCCGTAAACATATTACGACATCCAAACCTAGTAAGCGCCCGTAACCACCCGTAGCAACTAAGTAGAGTTGAGGCAAGTAGTAGAATAGTAATATCACACAATACCTCTAGATATACAAGGTTATGTGTAGTGTTATCGTCACCTTCCGGAAGTAGAACGTGTAAGCCAGCTACGGATGACGTCCGCGACATTGTGTTAAAAACCATTGAACTAGGCAAAAGTGGAACGCCCACACTTTCGTAGGTTCAAGTCAGTTTATATTTTACAACACATCCCCTTAGCTTTCTAGACCTAGTATAGGAAGGTCATATGGGACCCCCCTACACTGTCTGTAGTTGTTGTAGCGTATAGAGCGAGTGGAGTAGCTATTTTTGTAGCGTTTGCCTCCTATAGTTGATCTTAGCTACTAACGCTATTTGCGTTCCGCTTATTGTCGCTTAGCTAAGAGTTTTCGGAGTAAGTGAAAGCAGCATACCTAGGGGTATACCGTGTCCTAGGTGTAATGGTGGGTGCACCAGATGTGAGAATCTAGCCACCCAAGGAAGGGATGATTTTACTAAGACAACACACTGTCTTAGGAAAAAGACCCAAAGGGTCGTAGCTTAGACTATTCCACAACGCAGCAATCAGGTGTATGATGTAGTGGAGTGGTTTAGACAAGTTGTAACAAATGTTGAGTCTGAGGTGCACCAGATATGAGAATCTAGCCACCCAAGGAAGGGATGAATTTACTAAGACAACACACTGTCTTAGGAAACAGAGCCAAAGGGTTGTAGCTTAGACTATTCCACAACGCAGCAATCAGGTGTATGATGTGGTGAAGTGGTTTAGACAAGTTGCAACAAATGTTGAGTCTGAGAACTCAGGGGTAAGTCAGAGGTTAGCACCTCACTGACTTTTCAAAAACAGAGAATAACAAGATCAATGCTTGGAAGCTTGGAAAAGACGTAGAAGTATGTGCTAGTCGATTTACTGTATTGCCTGCTTGCCCTTTCTTAAGGAAAGGGCAATCCTATTTATGCCAAAGGAGTGTAGTTCTCTCATTTTCCATGACTTTCCATGACTAACCAGGCTTGGTAAATGTATTAGAAATCAAGTGCGACCCACAACTAGCTTGCTAATCATGTAGTGAACGTAAGAGAATCCCATAGAACCATCTCTTGGGTTCCTAGCCTATAGGAAGTGAAAAGGAGGTCCAAGGTCACAGTACCTATAGACAAATTATGTCATAACTTAACCAATCTTGTGGGTAACTAAGGAGCGATGACGTGTAATGAATCATAGAGGGTTGTAGAAGCTTCTAGAGCTATCGTTCATGTTCCTAGGCCTCTAGTTGGTAGAGATATGCCCACCCCCTTAAGGAGGAGGTTTTCTTAATAACTTGTTCAATGAGTGTCCAAATGATATGCCGTGATGTATGTAGCATAAACAGATGTAGTAGAAGAGTTTGCAGCAATCGTTGAGTAGTATTGCTTCTGTTGTTAGTGTGATAAGCCAAGATATGTATGGTGACTTGTAGGTTTGAGGAGGAGATTTCTAAGTTTGCTCTTAAATTTGATAGCAAACTGAGTGCAATGAATGTCAGTATGACATCGAGGGTATATAGCATGTGTGACTATAGTGCAGTAGCTCCATTAAATCCTTCAATGTTCTTTGGTTTTATAAGTTTGATAGGAGAGATGTTTTCAATTTCACAAATTCTTTTTGCGTCAACAGCATTCACAAAGCTGCCACCTGTTGCACCGCTATCCACAATTTGATTTCTTACTATTCTACAGGTAGCTAAGAATGGAGTGTCATAGTTGAAATGGGATAATGATGAGGCAGAGTGTAATGATGTACGGTTATGCTCGTGCTACATCCCACTGAGCCAAAAAGACTACAGTATTCCGGCTCGCCCGGAATACGCGTAACACGCTTTATATACCACATGTACTGTAACGGCAGCACCCGTTACACAGAGGAGGCAATTCTTGCTATAGAACCTCTGTCTTCTCTAGAGGCTATTCGTTTCCCGACTCATATTAAGCATGCTCTTCTATAGTAGATATCTCATTAACTCTAACTTTCTGCTTCTATAGGCAGTCGCAAGCGCGATGACCACTTCCATAGCAATGGAAGCATTTGCCAAGCTTCATAAGTGATTCTTTCTCAGGATCTTAGTAGGGAGGGCGGTAGAGCTTCTTCTATAGTGCCACTATTTTAACAGCAGTACTAGCAGTAGGGCTTTGGCCACTCTGCTTCTAGTAGGCGAACGGCTATGACTTCATTCTCTTCTCCTTTTCTTGAATTCTCTGTAGGTTTTGGTCCACAAGCATGCATTTCTTCACGAATTCAAGTAGGGTAGTGTCATACTGACATTCGTTGCACTCAGTTTGCTATCAAACTCAAGAGCAAACTTAGAAATCTCCTCCTCAAACCTACAAGTCACCATACATATCTTGGCTTATCACACCAACAACAGAAGCAATACTACTCAACGATTGCTGCAAACTCTTCTACTACATCTGTTTATGCTACATACATCACAGCATATCATTTGGACACTCATTGAACAAGTTATTAAGAAAATATCCTCCTTAAGGGGGTGGGCCAATACTACCACATGGCATATCTCTACCAACTAGAGGCCTAGGAACATGAACGATAGCTCTAGAAGCTTCTACAACCCTCTATGATTCATTACACGTCATCGCTCCTTAGTTACCCACAAGATTGGTTAAGTTATGACATAATTTATCTATAGGTACTCTGACCTTGGACCTCCTTTTCACTTCCTATAGGCTAGGAACCCAATGGGATTCTCTTACGTTCACTACATGATTAGCAAGCTAGTTGTGGGTCGCACTTGATTTCTAATACATTTACCAAGCCTGGTTAGTCATGGAAAGTCATGGAAAATGAGAGAACTACACTCCTTTGGCATAAATAGGATTGCCCTTTCCTTAAGAAAGGGCAAGCAGACAATACAGTAAATCGACTAGCACATACTTCTACGTCTTTTCCAAGCTTCCAAGCATTGATCTTGTTATTCTCTGTTTTTGAAAAGTCAGTGAGGTGCTAACCTCTGACTTACCCCTGAGTTCTCAGACTCAACATTTGTTGCAACTTGTCTAAACCACTTCACCACATCATACACCTGATTGCTGCGTTGTGGAATAGTCTAAGCTACAACCCTTTGGCTCTGTTTCCTAAGACAGTGTGTTGTCTTAGTAAATTCATCCCTTCCTTGGGTGGCTAGATTCTCATATCTGGTGCACCCACCATTACAGGTAGTAGTTCCTACTTTAGCAACCAAGGCTTTCTGCAGGCCTTAGTTGATCTTGAATTAGAGATCGTCAAGCAAGGTCTCCTCTAAGTAATCCAGCTCTGCTGTAAGTCTCTATAATTCAGCCTAGAAGGTTGCAAAGGTATTCTTGCCTTGGTATAGCTTGTAGTACTCAGTTTGTGCAGTGTGTCTCCTATCAGGGTTGCTAAACACTTTCTCAAGGAGTTGGAGGATTTCTTCTGCTGACTAAAGCATGTTTGGTGAGGTAATGCGAAGCCGTAGGTTCACATGGTGAACTACAAGTCCTCCTAGTTGTAATGGTGGGTGCACCAGATGTGAGAATCTAGCCACCCAAGGGAGGGATGATTTTACTAAGACAACACACTGTCTTAGGAAACAGAGCCAAAGGGTTGTAGCTTAGACTATTCCACAACGCAGCAATCAGGTGTGTGATGTAGTGAAGTGGTTCAGACAAGTTGCAACAAATGTTGAGTCTGGGAACTCAGGGGTAAGTCAGAGGTTAACACCTCACTGACTTTTCAGAAACAAGGAGTAACAAGATGAATGCTTGGAAGCTTGGAAAAGACGTGGAAGTATGTGATAGTCGATTTACTGTATTGTCTGCTTGCCCTTTCTTAAGGAAAGGGCAATCCTATTTATGCTAAAGGAGTGTAGTTCTCTCATTTTCCAAGACTTTCCATGACTTACCAGGCTTGGTAACTGTAGTCGACGTAAGAGAATCCCATAGAACCATCTCTTAGGTTCGTAGCCTATAGGAAGTAAAAGGAGGTCCAAGGTCAGAGTACCCCTATAGACAAATTATGTCATAGACAAATTATGTCATAGACAAATTATGTCATAACTTAACCAATCTTGTGGGTAACTAAAGAGCGATGACATGTAATGAATCATAGAGGTTCGTCGGAGCTTTTAGAGCTATCGTTCATGCTCCTAGGCCTCTAGTTGGTAGAGATATGTCATGTGGTAGTATGAGTGATGTCATGTAATGAATCATAGAGGGTTGTAGAGATATGCTATGTGGTAATATCGGCCCAGTAACTAAGGAGCGATGACGTGTAATGAATCATAGATGGTTGTAGCAATCGTTGAGTAGTATTGCTCTTGTTGTTGGTGTGATAAGCCAAAATATGTATAGTGACTTGTAGGTTTGAGGAGGAGATTTCCAAGTTTGCTCTTGACTTTGATAGCAAACTGAGTGCAACGAATGTCAGTATGACACTAGTCTGCTTTGGAGATAACTCATCTGCATCTTGTCATTTGGGAAGTGGTCGATGTTAGCTTCTAGCTTAAGTCAGATCTTTACAACCTAGTCTTCAAAAGCTGGTTTAATCCCATCCATAAGGACAGGAGGATCCAGAATGCGAGTAGACTAGCAAGGTACTGTAAGGATGCCTCCTTACACGGGGTACCCTCGGACCCGTAAGACAACGCGGAATAGGCGACATAGTAGTATAGCAGCATAGATGTTCTAGGGTCGGGGTCGATTCGGGCGGCAGACGGGAGTGGATCTACCGGTACGCTAAGGCCTAGCCGAGTCGGACCCCATTTAGGTACATAAGGGGTAGGAAGCTATAAGCTCCCCTTTCATCTTTTTTGTATCCTTCGTAGTAGACCTATAGGATTGCACCGACTCATATCCGACTCGCACTCCCATATGCCACTTCTCGTGATACGGTGCCCTGCGTCCTTACATTATACAAAAAAGATCACGCCTGCCGGGGACGGCCGTACTCAAAGAATATCCCACAACCGGAACGACTCAGGAGAACTGTCGAAACACCACCGACCGCGACTCGGTGACATTTCGAAGTAGAGACCTGATGACTCCAAATAGCCGTGACCCCAGAGAACTCACGGACAGCCAGTGGATCAGGGTTTGATCCTGCAGAGCAAGCTGGTAAAGTCGCCGACGCGTTGGCGCCGAATAGGATACGAGATCCTAAAGAACCCCCTCAAGCACAGAGGCAATTGTGAACAAGAGTGTTGATAGCTACGAGCTACCGGAAGTCAAACTCTTCCGTATCGACTGCGACTCGATACACCCCCGAATCAAGATGTCGCGCAAGACGACACAAAACCCACCACCCGACAATGACGGTCAACCGCTACGAATGACAACTAGGCAAACCGCCACAGCGGGCACGACCGCAGGGCCATCCGAAAGCCCCCCGGATCGCATAGCGAACCTCGAGAACGAGATGCGGGAGCTCAAGGCGATGGTAGCCAGCCTCGTAGCTAGCCAGACCCGAATACCGTCTACGCCACCACCGGCTGCCGACGCCCCAGTGCGCACCATTGAGGCCGACGAAGACGAACAGCCTGCACCGACAATGCGAAACACGCCCGGCACCGTTCGACTGCCACCTGTCGACAATGCGCGCTCTCCTTCAATCCCGGGTCTACCCCGACAGTACACGTG